TACTATAGTTGTCATGTTACCTAGTGACTGTAGAATCACTGCAACAGATCAATTACTATAGTTGTCATGTTACCATAGCGACTGTAGAATCACCGCAACAGATGAATTACTATAGTTGTCATGTTACCATAGTGACTGTAGAATCACTGCAACAGATCAATTACTATAGTTGTCATGTTACCATAGTGACTGTAGAATCACTGCAACAGATCAATTACTATAGTTGTCATGTTACCATAGCGACTGTAGAATCACTGCAACAGATCAATTACTATAGTTGTCATGTTACCCTAGCGACTGTAGAATCACCGCAACAGATCAATTACTATAGTTGTCATGTTACCATAGCGACTGTAGAATCACCGCAACAGATCAATTACTATAGTTGTCATGTTACCCTAGCGACTGTAGAATCACCGCAACAGATCAATTACTATAGTTGTCATGTTACCATAGCGACTGTAGAATCACCGCAACAGATCAATTACTATAGTTGTCATGTTACCATAGCGACTGTAGAATCACCGCAACAGATCAATTACTATAGTTGTCATGTTACCATAGCGACTGTAGAATCACCGCAACTGATCAATTACTATAGTTGTCATGTTACCGTAGCGACTGTAGAATCACCGCAACAGATCAATTACTATAGTTGTCATGTTACCATAGCGACTGTAGAATCACTGCAACAGATCAATAACTATAGTTGTCATGTTACCGTAGCGATTGTAGAATCACTGCAATAGATCAATTACTATAGTTGTCATGTTACCATAGCGACTGTAGAATCACCGCAACAGATCAATTACTATAGTTGTCATGTTACCATAGCGACTGCAGAATCACCGCAACAGATCAATAACTATAGTTGTCATGTTACCGTAGCGATTGTAGAATCACTGCAATAGATCAATTACTATAGTTGTCATGTTACCGTAGCGATTGTAGAATCACTGCAATAGATCAATTACTATAGTTGTCATGTTACCATAGCGACTGTAGAATCACCGCAACAGATCAATTACTATAGTTGTCATGTTACCATAGCGACTGCAGAATCACCGCAACAGATCAATAACTATAGTTGTCATGTTACCGTAGCGATTGTAGAATCACTGCAATAGATCAATTACTATAGTTGTCATGTTACCATAGCGACTGTAGAATCACCGCAACAGATCAATAACTATAGTTGTCATGTTACCATAGCGACTGCAGAATCACCGCAACAGATCAATAACTATAGTTGTCATGTTACCGTAGCGATTGTAGAATCACTGCAATAGATCAATTACTATAGTTGTCATGTTACCATAGCGACTGTAGAATCACCGCAACAGATCAATAACTATAGTTGTCATGTTACCATAGCGACTGTAGAATCACCGCAACAGATCAATAACTATAGTTGTCATGTTACCGTAGCGATTGTAGAATCACTGCAATAGATCAATTACTATAGTTGTCATGTTACCGTAGCGATTGTAGAATCACTGCAATAGATCAATTACTATAGTTGTCATGTTACCATAGCGACTGCAGAATCACCGCAACAGATCAATTACTATAGCTGTCATGTTACCATAGCGACTGCAGAATCACCGCAACAGATCAATTACTATAGCTGTCATGTTACCATAGCGACTGTAGAATCACGGCAGCAGATCAACTCCAGCACTGTACTCTAGCATGGTTCAGAAACACTACAGTATTACTCTATTGTATGTCTTCATGTGGGCTTGCAGAAGCAGTGTGTTTGGCCTCCAGAGCGGCTGTGGTCTTAAATCATACCTGACTGACTGTAGAGCTTGAGGATCCAGCTGTTGTTTCCGTGTCTGGCGAGCTCGAAGTGTTCTGTAAACTGCTCAATATACATCTGCAGAGTTTCCTTATTGAGCGAGCGAGAGCTGGAGATCAGCACATCAGGAGTCTCACAGTCCCTGTCTGCATTGTGGACAAATGCACACGTGACCAACATGTGATGGGGAAGGTTCTGAACTCTGATTTGTGTTTAAGAGTAAAAGCCGCTCGGCCTGACCTGTATGATGCCTGACTGCTGTTTCCTCCTGTAGCGCAGAGACCTTTGTGCAGTTACAGGACAGTGTGTGAGTAAATGAACACTGACCACATTATAATCACATTTACTGAGTTACAAACACACGAGGATCCTCAGTTTCTCCATCTAAACACTTAAATCGAGATGCTAAATCACCAGAGCATCTAGTTTCCAGAGGACGGAGCTCTTTATTCTGGAGCTGCTCATCTGCTAATGTTCTCTGAAAATAGAGACGTTGCAGTGTGTTTGGGTTTTCCCCTCACCTCATCTGTAGAGGATTCTCTGGTCAACAGAAACTCTAGATCACATGTCGGTGTGATGCTCCATATCTTTATTAGACTGCTGCTGTCGCTGTCTTCTTGTAATGAACTTCTTTTTCCTTTGACTAATGTTTCATTTAATTCAATCCCTGTGTATTTATATAGCACTTTTCACAATGTAGATAGTGTCAGAGCTAGGCATGGGAAGATAACCGGTTTCAAGATATACTGCGGTTTGGAAAAGTCAAGGTTTTAAAACCTCCAAGGTTTTCTGTTATATTGTCTGTCTTTTCACAACTATTTAATTTTGCTTTAAGGGCAACAGTACATCCAGCAGAAGAGGAACCTGCTCCTCAAAAGCTACTGCAAAAGCTACTGCTACTGCGATTATAGTGTGAAAGCGATACGATCCAATGAACTAAAGAACCAGGCTATATCACATTGTATTAAACATGCGTAATAGGCATATCTGGCTATATTAAGCGAGAATTACGAGCAGGGCAGGGTGTCATTCCTACCAGTAAATGTGCATCTCATGTGAAATGTGAAAGTGAAAGCATGCTGAACTATTACTGAGAGTCAGGATCATTGAGGGAACAGCAGTCTTGGTTTATCTGTTGTTATCTCTCTCTATAATGTAAAGCCTGTAATGCAGAAGCCAGCTGCTCTGTATGAGAGAGTCCTGCCTCTGATTTATATCTGCCGATGATGTCTGAGAGTGTCATTATTCAAAATGAAAGTGCAGCTCTTCGTTTATATTGTCTTATTGCTCATCATCATAAATTATTTAATTTATTATTATTATTATTTGATTTATCATTTAATTTTGAAGCAGTAATCACAATACTGTGATACCGTGATCTTTCATCCAAGGTTATCATGCCGTCAGCATCTTATACCGGCCCATGCCTAGTCTAAGCAGCTTAATATAGTTGTAGCAAAGTCCAGATGATATCAGATTTGGCCTGTTCAGTGAGCCGGTGTGGTGTGATTTACACATCTGCTTCTGTTGTTTGATCAGACACAGATGAGACGAGTTGAACCCTGAATAATGATACTGATGAGCAGCTCGTGAGTGGTGAGAGGTGGTGTGAGTGACCTTGTGCTGAAGGCTGTCCTCCGGTGTCTTCAGCTCTGCTGGTCTGTTCTTCTGCTCTGGAAGCTTCACCGTCAGCTCCACCTTTCCGTAACCTTTTAAAGTCACCGTATGGACTCTGGTGTCCAGCACCTTCTGCAGATCTGCAGCACAGGAGTGAGTCTGTCACACTGGATATTGCTTAAACAGCTGCGTTATATTCATGTATACGCTGTAATGTGAGGTTCATCTACAGAGATAGCTTTGGCTCAATGCTGGGCTCATTTTTTAAATGGGCAGTTCAGCCCAAAGTGAAAAGTGACCCGCTGTTTACTCCTTTCAGTTCCTGTCGTCTGTAGAACACTAATGAAGAAACCTGGACCCGCTGACTGCCATAGGGAAAACACACAGCGCTGAAGCGAACAGTGAGCAGTTTCAGCATTCTTTAAAATATCTGCTTTGTGTTCTGCAGAAGTCAAACAGGGTGAGCACATTATGATAGACTTCAGAGTTTTAGGGGAATTACCCATTTAGTGTAATGACATGTTGTGATTTTGTCTCCATACACCATTTTGAGGGATGTAAACACATAGAGGTAAAGTTGGTTTTATATTCTAATATTCAGACTTTCTCTTTAATAAAGTAATTTCAGAAAAGTAATGTTTAATAATTCTAAACAGGGAATTCATATTAGCAGCAAATGACTATCTAAGTGCAACAATGTTCACAGTGAATTAGATACTGTTAATGTTGTCTAGAAGTCATACTTGCATGCTAATTTCATTCGAATATTCAAAGTAACATGGTAAACAATATAGAGACTGCTAAATGAACGAATGTGTGAATATAAAACCAACTGTACCTCTATTGTAAACACAAGCAATGGTCCCAGACTCCATACATGTTTAATTTCTACAGCTTCACAGAAACCAGAATGAGCCACATATTGATCAGTAACGTTATAAGAGCTGTTTAACATTGTCATCATAGTGATTTGCCTCTTGCTACAGTTATGAAATAGTTTAATAACTACATTAATGTTCATGGACCGGTGACATGCCCACAGTGAAATGGTCAGTATTTGACCCAGCGGCTGGGTTGAACAGTATGATGTATCAGTGTGTGGTGGTGGTCATATCTCACCCTCCTCTTGTAAATAATCCAGCAGAGCTTTCCGTCTGTCCTCCTCATGTTCTCGGAGATGCAGGATTTCTCCTCCTGACCTGCGCTTGTTTCTGAAGTAAAGCTCTAGTTTGGGCTTCAGTTTGTGGAAATCATCGGGCAGACCCTCCAGAAGCAGACTCCTGCCCTCCATCCTGCTCACCCTCCTCTACACACTGACGATGAAGACTCAAATCCCCCGTAAGATCCGCCTCATCTCTCGGTTCGGTTTCGCTTTCGCTTGGCCGCTCACGTGATTTCCAGCTCCAGGAAGAGCACCGAGAAAAACAACAGCAGTAAACAGCTCAGCTCACCGACACCTGCTCGCTAATATCGGCTTTAATATCACTGCTCCACCATTCAGCATGTCTGACTCCGCTGGAGACACTCAGGTACTGCTTGTTTACACGAGTTTGACTTCAGTTATTGATGATTCTGATAATCGATAATCAATAATCGCGCTTATCTCCGATAGTTTCAGGACGAGAGCACGATGAGCGACGAGCTCCAGAAACTCAAGGTACAACCTGACTAATAATTGATCGATATTTGATGATTGATGGTCGATAATTGATCGATGACGTGTCTGCACAGGATCTGATCGAGAGTGCGGATAATGAGAGGTCCAGACTGCTGCTGGAGAAGGCGGAGTCCGAGAAGGAGAAGAGGAGAGCAGAAGCAGAGCTGGAGAGATGGATGAAGGACGAGGAGATCCAGGAGGAGCAGTTCAGGAGAGACCTGGAGGAGCTGCAGGTGTGTGTGTGTGTGTGTGTGTGTGTGTGTGTGTACAGTTAAGGTCAGAATTATTCACCCCCTGTTTATTTTATTCCCCAGTTTCTGTTTAACAGAGCAGATTTCTCCAGCACATCATCTCTAATAGCTGATGTGTTTCCTCTTCTCCATGATGACAGCACATAATATTAGACTATATATTCTTCAAGACACTAGTGTTCAGCTTACAGTGACATGTAAAGGCTTCACTAGGGTAATTAGGGTAAAGTTAGGGTAATTAGGCAAGTCATTGTATAACAGTGGTTTGTTCTGGAGACAATCCAACACTAATATTGCTGAAGGGGCCAATAATATTGAGCTTAACATGACTTTAAAACTATTAAAAACTGCTTTTATTCTAGCCCAAATAAAACAAATAAGACTTTCTCCAGAAGAACAAATATTAGAGGAAACACTGTGAACATTTCCTGAATCTGAGAAACATCAAAATAATTCTAACAGTATCTGGATGCAGCCTTTATGATGCAAGCTGGGATTGCATCTCTCAGAGATGCAGTGTCAGACACAATGCCCTCAATGGAGTGGGTGACATCACTGTGAGGGGCGGGGTTAGGTGAGCACATTAAAAACCCTTGCATGCAGCTCAGATTGCATCTGCACCAAGTCTGCAGCCAGACTCCCCTCAATAATTCTGACTTCCTCTGTACATATCTTATGTGTAACTGTACGTCTGTGCTTATGTGTGTGTGTTTGTTTTAATCCTGGTTCACCTCAAACTTGCTGAAGGTAAATGATGATTAAACTGAGCTCCTCCTCATGGGTGCAGGATCCACTGTAATAACGTCACCCGCTCTGCTTATTTCCACCTTCGACATGTCGATCGTTTACGTCCTCCCCTCACAGCTCACTCATCTGCTGTTCCTGTTCAGAGTTTACGTCTCCTCTGCTTGTCCTCCCTAATTAACCTCCTCAGCTGGTGTGATGATATGAGCCCGTATGATCACCCGCACCCCTCTGTCTGTCACATCACACCGCTCTACAGCAGACTCACTGCTCCACATCTCCTTCAGGATTACTGATGAAGCACTTCCTCTCACTTTTAAAGCCATCTCCACCATCTCCTCCTCCATATCAGACTAGCGGTGTTCATCTCAGCACAGCTTCTCCAGCACTCAGGTCTCCTCCTTCATCCACCTCACTGTTCCTCCTGTCCTCGTGGGCAGCAGATCCTTCAGCCCCTCGGCTCCTCAGCTCTGGAGCTCTCGTCCTCCTGATCTCCGTAATCTAGACTCTCGTTCTCATCCGAACTCAAAACCCTTCAGTGTAGAGCAACGGACTCTCTCCGTCTGCCACAGCTGTGTTCTGATGACTGTGTGTTAATCTGCGCTGACTGCTCCTGCTCTCCTCTACGCTGAGCTCCAGCATCAACAGAGGCGCCTTTAAATAACATGCAGCATTGTTATACGAGTGTGTGTGTGTGTGTGTGTGTGTGTGTTTCAGGTGGAGATGAAGAATCTGGAATCAGTAAACCGGACTCTGAAGAAGGAACTGGATGATCTTAAGGACAAGCTTCAGCTGAAGGAGGACGAGATCGACTCTCTGCAGCAGAAG